TTTTCCATTCTTCAAGAACCTTATTAAGCCCATCGATGAGTTGTTCGCATTCATTCGATGTAATTATATTACGTTTAGTTAAAGCTTTAGCATAAGCTTGTGATCCAAGAATATCAGCTTCAAATAAACGCTTATCAAAATGTATGGAAGCATTAAAAGCATCCATTAGAGGATCCGTAGGTCCTGTAAAACGACCACCCCATAATTTTGTTTCCATTTTTTATTAATAATATTTAAACGAAAAATTTGGCATTATTTATAGCATATACTGTTATAGTAGATACTGATTAAGATCTCATCGTGATAAATTAATCAAATGCATCTAGATGAGATATGTACGGATAGAGATTTTGTATCGATATGGATGAGATCTGTACAACTTTGAATTTGATTTGTTGTTAGTATTAGCGTTAGTCATTGTGAATTTTATTTTTGAATTCACTGATAATAATCTGCCTGATAACTGGTTTATTTGATCATTAATTAAGAGGGTTTAACTCTAATAGTTAACTTAGATTGTTAATATAATTGTTAATATAGACAGATTATATATAATCTTGGTCGTTTTATATCGATTATGTTCACGTGGGGTTATAGAATTTAATTAATTTAGGGATCTCGAGTTATTAATTTAATAAGGTGGGTAATAATTGCGTAATTCGGGAGTTTAGATGTATCGGCTTATTACAGCTGTTATCATTATTTCTGGGACACCTGATAATTTTTGCTCGCTACCGAATCATTCTCAGTTTCATCCAGTAAATTGCCTAATCTCTCGGAAACTATGTCGTTGTCTTCAGACTGAGAATCCGAAGACAGTGACTAGTTTCCGAGAGATTAGGCAATTTACTGGATGAAACTGAGAATGATTCGGTAGCGAGAAAAATTATCAGGTGTCTCAGAAATAATGATAACAGCTGTTAATTTAACATCAGTCGTGTAACATTGCGTACATCAATTAATTTAAAAAAAATAAAAACTTCGAGTGAAGATATCTCGACAACCACTCAATAAAATTCGATGAAATTTTTTAAAATTAGTTATATTGATTTGAAGAATCAAAATAAAAAAGATTTCATCGAATTTCATTGGATGGTTATCGAGATATCTTCGCTCAAAGTTGGAACAAAATTCAAAACGTTTAAATTGTAATTAATTTTTTTATAAAAAAAACTTCAAATGAAGATATCTCGACAACTACTCAATAAAATTCAATGTAAATTTTTTTTTAATTTGTTTCTTGTAATATTATAATATTTTTTAAAAAAAAGTTTATTGAATTTTTTTTTTTTTTTTTTTTTTTTTT